TATAGAACTGACTCACCTGCCTGTGACCTTGTGCGGGTTATTTAACCTTGCAGTGTCCTTCCCTAGAAAGTGATGCCAGAGATTCCTACCCCTATTAAACGAGATGAGGGACATAAAAGGGCCAGGGCATGTTTCTGATAGCTAAATTTCACTATAAGAAGGAAAATACATTTGCAAAAGTATTCCATCACATGATGGAAGTATAGCACAGGGCATGTGGGGAAAATAGATGTATAACTCTTGAGATTTGGAAGAGGGGCCAGGCACAGTGTCTCTTGCCTGTAATCCAGGGACTTTGGAAGGCCTGATGTGGGAGGATCATTTGAGGCCAAGAGTTCAAGACCAGCCTGAGCAACATAGTGAGCCCCTGTCTATCTAGAAGCAAAATAAATAAATAAATAAAAAATAATAACAACAACAACAACAAAAGAAATTTGGAAGTGGCTTAAATTAGCCTGTAGGAAACTTTTCAAAAATTAATTTTTTCTCTTTAAACTCTTTCACCGGACTAATAATATATATTAAGTGCTTATCATATATGCCCTTAAAGAACTTATAGCCTAATTGGTTAGTCACTCTGGTTTTTTTCTTTTTAAAAATAATTTCCTTCAGTTTTAATTGTTCGCCTACATGTTGTTTCTTATTTGGGGGTGATACAAGACTTGCTTTCTCTTATACTGGATTAGTATTTATCATATTGATTCCCACCCAGGTCTGAGCATCAGGTTTCATTTCTAAGCAGATATGAGCCCATTTTTCTTGGTGCTGAATGAGTGTTTCTCTGTCTTTTCTGGAGGAAAGAACTGAGTGTGGCAGAGCCAGTGCTGAGCTATAGCCAGCACCTTCTGAGGGCCACCTGGCTCTCCCAGCCAGGGCTTTTAAGCCCTTAATTGGTAGTAGAGGCATTTTCAAGAAAATGTCGATATATTTCAGGAGCCTAGGATTGAAATAGGGTGATGTAAAATGGTAGACTTAAGATACACTAATGAGAGGTAAGGAGTAAGAAGTTTAAACAGGATTTCTAATTTATACACAATAAGAAAAATAGACTTACAGAAAGAGATTTCTATCCCAATTATCTGGTAATGCTATTTTGAATACTTTTTTATTACAATCTGTGATAACATGCCATTCATGTAACCAATAAAACATAGCTGCCATTCAGCCAAGTTTTTGGTTTACCTCTGACTGTAGTTAAAATAAGTGTGATGAATGAACAACTGATGTTACAGCTGGATACAAGCAGGACTTTGTAAGAAAAGTCTTGAAATCTTTAGTTGAAGTCTTTGTTTCCCACCACCATGCTGAAGTTGAAAGTGTTTCAAAGCTAGTAGGCAGCCTTCTTTTGATGTATTTGATTCACTTGGGATTAGAGAAAGCAGCTCTCTTTAGTTAATTATAAAAATTGTCTTTAGCCAAAATTAATATATTGGAATTTTTCAGTTGCTTTTGAGTGCAGTAATTAAAATTAAGAAACTTATAAATTTTGGATATGTGCAGCTTTTCTCCTGAGTGCTTGGATCAAGATGCACTTGTGGACCATGGAACTGTGACATAGCATTCTATTTTAGGGCTGTCATCCTAGGAGTAGAGAAGAAAATAAACTGTATTTGTAGGATTTAGAATTCTTGGGAAAAGCAAAGTAAACAGAAATAGTTTCAGCAATGTCTGTCAAATTAACAAGTATTTTCTACCTTTGCTTCAAACACCCACTCTCTCTTCTGTTATGTATCAAATCCCTGGACCCTCCTATCGATAATGTTGGTTCTGTTATAAAACTAGCCAATAAATGTATTGGTTGGAAGTGGCATTTGTTAAGGAAATATACCTGAAATAAACGTGATGACCTATTTTGTAAAATGCTCATTTTTTTTTTTTCATCCTGTGTACTCTGCAATGGAATTGCAGGTTAATGCTCCAGTCTTCCTCAGGAATGAAAGCCTGTGGGCTAGCCCTGGAGCTGTTTTCTTTGTGGTTTGTCTCCTTTCCAAACCCATAGGAAGCCCATTCTCCTTTCATTTTTATTCTTTTCCAACTCTAGTGCTTTTGAACACAGAACCCCCATCCTCCCACCACCTAAACTTCACATTCCAACCCTGTGACTTCATAGTACCAGACGTGTCTCCCCTGCCATGCCGTCAGGCCACCTGCTGACTCTTGCAGGGGGAACAGACGGGAACATAAACTCAACACAGAAGAGCAGGACACTCTCTGTATATTTTTAAGACCAGGAATCCAGTTCCCATTTGGAGACTGTATTTTTTTTAATAGCTCCTTGAAAATTGAACAAAACATGTCTTGTTGTTCTTATTTCTTGATAACATCATTCCCCCTGCACTGATGTATAGAATCTCAGAAACTAGAGAATGGAAAAGATGTATTAGATCATGTCTAACCCATTCCCACTGGCCGCAGTACTTTTTCCCACAGTCTCTCCTCTACTGCTTTTCTCTTCTAGTTTTCTCAAGAATTTGTTTCTTCCATTCTCCTGGGGAATTATTTCTGAGTTTGACCATGGAGGAATTTATGTGGAAATATTCATATTCTTTTTTTCAGTTTAATATTCCTAGTCTTCGTAACCCTTTACATTACTATAAACAGTCCCTCTTCTTCCCAGGTCAAGTATTTCTGGATAGTATTTTTTTTCTTTCCATTTATTAAGTTCAGAATTTGTTTTTTTGCTTTGCTTTCTCTCTTCATCAATCAGTCCCTAAAGCCCATTAATCATTTTTTTACTACACTGAAAACTTCTTTGCTTATTCCCATATCAGGAACCCAGAGCTGGTTAGGGTCCCTAGGTACTGGAGGAAACCTCACTGATATGTATTTATTCTGTGCTCCTTTCTCTCTCTCTCTCTCTCTCTCTCTCTCTCTCTCTCTCTCTCTCTCTCTCTCTCTCAATTCTCAACTAGAAACCATTTTTAAAATATTATTTCTAAATCAGGATTTGGGAATTTAGTCACTCAAAGACCTATTTTGTATATGTGTGTATATATGTATGTTATGATTTTGAGTGGTAAGATTGTATTTGTTCTCAATTACCAAAGAGGTATTTTTTTATATCCTCAGGGCCACAAATCTTTTGGGTTTCCTCCTGAATGCTTGGATCAAATGCAATTCTGGACCACAGAACTATGATGTAGCTTTCTATTTTAGGGCTGTCATCTTAGGAATAGAGAAGAAAATAGACTGTATTTGTAAGATTTAGAATTCTCGGGAAAAGCAAAGGGCAAAATTTAAGTAGCCTTGACACTCACATATCTAAAGTAGATTAGCTCTTGGGAGCTAGTGTTAGGTATAAAGATAAAGACTTAATATGTTTTGTGGTTTCCTAGATTTGAGGAAGATGAAGATGTCAGTTATATGAATATGTCAGTTCTCCCCAAAACAATCTATAGAGTCAATGTAATCCCAGTCAACCCCTGCCCCACACAGGTTTTTTTCTCTTGGGACTTAACAAGACAATTCTAAGATGCATTGAGAAGTGTAAAGGGCTAAGGATAGGTAAGGTACCCTTGAAGAAAAAGGACAGGGAAAGATTCGCTCCACTAGGTCTCAAGACTAATTAAAAAGCAATGCAATACTGGCACAGATATAGACAAATAGACTAATGGGTCAGAATTGAAAGACCAGATTCTTCATACAGGGATCCTTGATTTATGACAGAAATGGCATTTCAAAGCAGTGGGAAGAAACAGTCTCCAGTAAATGGTGCTGGAAAAATCAGATATCCATATAGGAAAAAAATAAATAAATTAGATGCTGACCTCACATCATATGCAAAATACTCCAAATGGATACAGACCTAAATGTGAAAGATAAAACTTTAAAGCACACACACACACACACACGTGAGTGCCTGCTTTATATAATATGTGTGTATATATATGCACACATATTTTCATGACCTCAGGATATTGAAAGGTTTCTTCTATGACACCACAGTTTATAGTCAAAAATTACATCCAGTAAATTATGGCTGCTATTCTTAATATTTTGTTGTAGTGGTGGCTAAAAAAGATAATGATGCATTATTTTATTTTTTCAGAACCACTTAGTTACAGCACATTTACTAATACTCAATTTTGTTTTTTCAATATATACTATAAAATAATTCAAGAGAAAAATGGCATTTTTTAACTCTGTATTGCATTTTTTCTTCTCATTTTTGTGTTAAAATTTCAATATTAGAAAGTACAAACCCAAGGGAAAAGATGACGATGACAAAAATGCTTTTATAATTTAAATAATTATATAGATTTAAAATCTCCTTTTTAAGAAGTGAAAACCCAAATATGATTTTATCAAAAGTAAAAGGAAACCAAGGTACAGAAAAGCTAAATAACTTTATCAAGAAGTAGTATTAGAAATAGACTATATGTTTCCTAACTTCTAGCCCAAGATCCTGTACACTAAATTATATGAGCAATTATTTTTTTAAAAGTATATAGCAGTAGCCTTTAGCTCTAATGCTAAGGCTTTCATTTCCTTAACTGTAAAATAAATGAAATCACATGACAAACCCTTGAGGCCCCTTTATTCTTCAGTGAAATTTGACTCTATGTCTGAAGTCTTTCTCACTGACCACCATAACCACAGTCATCTTTTCCTCTTGGGAACTCCCGCCTCTACCCCACTATTTATCTTTACAAACTGGTCATGATCATGTTGCCACATTGTACCTTTACTTATCATTTCATAAACTTATTCTCTGACTCCAATTAGATTATATTCTCTTTGGGATGCAGACCTTTTTATGTGTCTCATATGATAAGGTTTTAAGGGCAAAAAACAATTTTAATATCATTTCCTGTCCCTAATGGCACCTAGCATAATGATTTTCACAGAGTAGGCATAAAACAAATGCATGATGATGATGATGATGTCTGTCAGGCTGCAGTTTACAAAAATAGGACTAGCTATCATAGCTATGGCAACTTGGGCACAGGATTTGTGGATTCTGCCTCAAAAGCAAATATATTTGTTTTCCTTTGTTCCAGGAAGACAGCGTGAAGCGAGTCTTTTCTGGCATTCAGCCTACAGGAATCCCCCACCTGGGCAATTACCTGGGAGCCATTGAGAGCTGGGTGAGGTTGCAGGATGAATATCACTCTGTGCTGTACAGTATTGTTGACCTCCACTCCCTCACTGTGCCCCAAGACCCCACCATCCTCCGGCAGAGCATCCTGGACATGACGGCTGCTCTTCTCGCCTGCGGCATAAACCCAGAGAAGAGCATCCTTTTCCAGCAATCTCAGGTCAGCTTCTCGGATTCGAACTGAGAAAACTTTCATTTTCAGATTATTTGAAGAAAAATGTTGCAAGGGTTCATAACAGCTCCTGTTTGTGATCTTTAAAAATTGAGGGTGCATTCGTCAAATGTGATTGTTTCAGTTTAATGTTTTGCCTATATTCATATCACAAAGTATCATTATACTGCAACAGTATTTTTCAACTTTTCCTCCACTATAGTTGGTAAGTTTATAATTATTCATATACCAAAGAGTTTTATCTCTTTAGTACTTCTAAATCTGAAATTGTTTTTCTATGCTGGTTTGCATTCAGACTGATGACTTCATGCTGTTGACTAATCTCCTTGTGATCAAGGATAGAATTTAGTGACCAGTGGTTTTACATAATTCCAATGTTGATTATTGGGTATTGCATTTGGAGGGACTATTGGACAATTCTTGTTGTTCTTTCTTTAACAAATAGCTTTTGAGAAGATTTGATAGAACAAACTGGGAAATTGGAATACAAAATCCCAGTGTTTTGTATCTAAGCCAAGAAAGCCTTCAGAGCAAAGCCAAAATGCTTGACTCATATCTTTACTATGGATGAATCAGTTTATTCTTGGACAGGCAGATAGCCTGGCCCAGATACAAGGCAATTAAGATACACCCTAGAAAAAGAAGATGAAAAATTTTAACTGGATCCTGCCCTCATTACATATCTGCTTTAACCTCGTGACAGAGCCTAGCCAAGTAATAGTATGTTATCCATGCTATGGTACATATTATCATGTATGCATACATATGACTTTTTTTGATCATAAATTTGTCATTATTTTTATGTATGTTTTCTTACCCACAGCCCTCAATGGATTCACACAAAACAACCAGTTAAAAAGTATGTAATAAATGAAAAGAGTACAGTGGTCCCTTGGTATCCACGGGATACTGGTTCCAGGATACCGAAATCCACAGATGTTCAAGTTCTTTCTATAAAATGGCATAATGTTTGCATATATCCTATGCGCATCCTCCATATACTTTAAATCACCTCTAGATTACTTATCATAGCTAATACAATGTAAATGCCATATACATAATTATTATACTGTATTTCTTTTTTATTTGTATTATTTTTTATTGTTGTATTATTTTCTTTCCCCTGAATATTTTGAATCTGCAGTTGGGTGTAGAACCCACAGATACAGAGGAACAACTAACTGTACCTTAAAAAAACAAATGTAGTTGTCATTGTAAGCTTGTTGCTAGCTTGAAGACAGTTTGATAAAATAATGGAATCTAATCATTAAAAATATCTTAAAGGCAATTTACCTTAACTTTCTTCCTTATAATTTGTCAGGAAGGCTTTACTTACACATGACTTTTCAAATTCATTGTTGGGCAGATCTAATTTTTATAAAATACTTGTTTTGTTGAGCAAACATCTGCTTCCCTATAATTTCCATCCATTCATTTAACTTTTGTTTTCTAAAAAACACAATAAATCAACTGTCTTCCACACAATTGCTCTTGAAATACTTGGAGACATTTATTATGTGCCATCCTTACTTTATGGAGGTCTTTATCCTATGGATCATTACCTATTAGGTCTTACCTTCTTCAAACTAGCTGTGCTCAGATCTCTCACCCTCTTGGTCATCCTACCCAGAAGCACTCTCATCTTCTCTTTGAAAGGAACGTGCCTCTCACATTGCATGGAATAATGTGTATTCGGACTCTTCATATTCATTGACATTGGAGAGGTGGTCACCATTAGAGCTACTTTTTGACTTGCCTAATGCGTTTTGCAAAGCACATCATCTTCACTCCAGCTGAGCTATCGTTTGATCCTCATTTGATAGTTTTTCTAAAAATTGTATTCCCAGCCACAAGGACCTATTTCCATACTTCTTGTAGGCGAATATGTCTAATCTCCACCAGCTAACCAATTGTGAAGGGCCAGATTGCTTTTTTAAGTGATCTTAAAAATTAAAGGTTTATTTTACAACCACATCCTCCTATACTTACACGTTGAGCTTGTTCCCTCAGGAATGATTACCATATTACAGATTTTTTTCTCCTTTGAAAAGGATTTTTGGCAATGACCTCTATAAGCATCTAAAATGTACAATTACTGACATATCTTTTTCCACATAGTACTTAGTTGTTCAAAATAGTAATGGAAAGAGTAACCCACAATATGAGAGATTTTATAAGGACTCCTTCATAAATGAGGGATAATAAAATTTACCTTCTCTTTGAATGGAACCTAATGAGCTTATTGTCTCCAAGATGGTGTGGGTCCAGGCCAGAGAGTAAAGGTGACCAGTGTTCACTCTCTCCTCAGTGCTTTAGTGCAGTTCTAAAGCTGTCTCACCATCTCCTACTGTCATCTCTGACATCAGCTCCCTTGTGGGGAATTTCAGTAGTTTGCCAATAAAATCTGAGAAAAGTACTCATCTCACCTACTTTTCATAATTTGTCCCACAAAAGCATTATGAAAGAATTCCTCTGTCTTTCTAACCTTAAGACAAACTTGGGCCAGGCGCGGTGGCTCACATTTGTAATCCCAGCACTCTGGGAGGCTGAGGTGGGAGGATTGCTTGAGCTCAGGAGTTCAAGACCAGCCTGAGCAAGAGTGAGACCCCATCTCTACCAAAAATAGAAAAATTAGCCAGGCATGGCAGCATGTGCCTTGTAGTACTAGCGACTTGGGAGGTTGAGACACGATCGCTTGAGCCCAGGAGTTTGAGGTTGCAGTGAGCTAGGCTGACGCCACTGCACTCTACCAAGGGCGCTCTACCAAGAGTGAGATTCTGTCTCAAAAAAAACAAAAAACAAAACTTGGCCTTAGCTGTTTCCTTTTCTTTGACTCAACTTTGTGGATGGACTGGATATTTTATCAGGCTTCTTTTTTTTTTAAGTAAAGAAAAAGTTTTAAATATATATGACAATGGAATAGTACCCTCATCAATTATTAACATTTTATGATTTATTGCATTGATGTGATTTTTTTATTGAAATATTTTAAGTATAAAAGATCTCACATGTCATTGCATTTTACTCCCTTAATATTTTAGTGTACCTCTTTATAGATTTGGGAAATTTCCTTATACAACCACCATACTGTCATCACACTTAACAAAGTTAATGATAATTCCATATTATCATCTAATACCTAGACTACCCTCATTCTCCCAAAAATATCTTTTATATTTGGTTTGTTTGAGTGAAGATCTACCAAAGTCCACACATTACATTCGATTATGGATCTAAAGTCTCTTTTTTTGTATATGCCTTTTGATGTGTTCATCAAATTTTAATTTATTTCCTATAAGGTTAGTCCTTCTGCACTTAAAAAAAATTTAAAATTTTGATTTTTATGCTTCTACTTTTTTTGTAACTTTGATATATTGATCAGATTTTCTTTTATTTGCTATGAAGTTCGACTACAAACTACTGTCCCACAAAGTTGCTCATCACTATTTTCATTAATTTGAATAGAAACTGTGCTTGCCAACTGTCCATGGAGTACAGTGATCTCTTGAACTTATTCCTCCTAACAGAAATTTTGTATCCTTTGACCATTATCTTCCCATTTCCTCTAGCATCTTCCTCCTGATAACCACCATTCTACTCTGCTTCTATTAGTTTCGCTTTTTTGTATTCCACATATAAATGAGGTCATACAGTATTTGTCTTTCTGTGCCTAGCTTATTTCACTTAATATAATATCCTCCAGTTTCATCCATGTTGTTGCAAATGGTAGGATTTCCCTTTCTAAGGCTAAATGCTATTCCATTGTCTTTATCCATTCGTTTGTTGATGGATACTCAGGTTGATTTTTTTTTTTTTTTTTTTTTTTTGAATGAACACTTAGTTTGATTCCATTCTTGGCTGTTGTGATAATGACGCGAACTGGGAGTGCAGATATCTCTTCAACATATGATTTCTTTACTCTTGGATACTATACCCAGTATGTGGATGCTGTCATCTATGTAGTGCTATTTTAATTTTTGAGGAAATCCATACTATTTTCCATAACAACTGTATCAATTTATATTCCATCAACAGTGTGCAGGGTTCTTTTTCTGATCCTGACAACATTTGGTTTTTTGTTTGTTGTTTATTTGTGACAGTGTCCTTGTTCTTGTGCCCAACTGAGTGCAGTGGTTCACGATAGTCACTGACCCTACTAAAAAAACAATCAGAGCTAGTGATTCTCCTGCTCGCCTCGAGTCAGCTGGAATATAGGTTATTGCACACACCTGGTAACTTTTCAATTTCTGTACGGTGAGGTCTCACTCTTGCTCAGGTGTTTGAATCTTTGGCCTCAAGCAATCGTCCTGCCTCGCTCCAAGTGCTAGGCATTAAGATGTGAGCACTGTTGCCCAGCCACACTCTTTGTTATCTTCATTCTTTTTGATTATTAGCCACTAACAAGTATAGTGTAAACCTGTGAAGTCCCCAATAGATGGGGCTGAAAGAAAAGTAATTATGGCATCTTTTAGATCTATTTAAAAGTTAGAAAGTGTGTTTATTTAGAATGATATTTTTAAATAAGTTAAGGTCTTAACAATCATTTACATTATCATAGACTTCTTTCTTAATACATGACACACGCATAGTTCAAAGAATAGGTACCTTCACTGAAATGATAATAAAGTTGAAGAGATCTACGGTCACACTATGGAAAATGTAGGTGAAGCACACCAGAAAGCGATTGCCTAGTACTTTAGAAATGCTCAAACTCAACATCTAACAGGTGCCTGAGTCATCAGCTTAGTACAATGCCAAAGCCGGTTCATATTGTCCTACAATAGCTACCACATTTTTAGAAGTATGACTCATGGGCTGAACCTTGGTTCTGCCTACTGATTTCCCTGCCTCATAAATACGCCTTCATCCCTGTTTAATGCATGGTGCGTGGGTAGGCCACATAAGAGGAGCTCTGTGAGGGTTACCTAATGGCCTCAATATTTCTGGCAACAAAACCACTGCTACTGGTATCACCTCGAGCTCAAATT